TTTTTTTTTTTCCCCTACAGGGGGCCGGGGTCCCGGGTGCCGACCCCCGGAACCCCGGAACCCCGGCGGGGTCCCGGGGCCGGGGTTCGACAACCCTGATGCGGATCATGAGGATGTCGGGAGACATTCTGCGATCGCACTACAAAGCCTTTTACTTTGCCAACATCCTCGCCAAGCCCCTGCTCGTCGCGTCTATGCACCGCGCGTTTGATCATCGGCGGCACATCATGTCCGCAGCCAACTCCGTGATGGAACGACTGGGGAAGGCGCAGGGGACCTTGGGGCACTCCCCCAACTTCATCCTAGAGTGGGCTTTTTGCGGTGTGAACTTCAAACATGACGCCAGCTTGTCAGGCACTGACGAGGCGAGACGACTCGAGTGGTTGGGGACAGGGCCACCTGTTGGCGAAGATGACGAGGAGTAGGAGGGCTGAACGTGGAGAGGGGGTGTGCGGCGAGGATGATGATGATGATGATGTGATGATGATGATGATGATCGTGATGATGAAAAGCAGCACATGATGATGCCGCCATGACGACAACGATTTTGCGAGGTGTGCCGACGGTGGTGAATTGCGACGATCAGCCGACGGCGACGACTGTGCCGCTGCACTAATGCTTAGGCGCATGCGGGCGATGACGGTGGCCAGATGGAGGCGGCAGTGATGATGCCTCCACGATGCCGCGACAATGACGATGATGGTGGTGGCAACGATGATGATGATGATGACGTTCACGATGATGATGATAATGATGTTGATGATGATGATGATGATGATGATGATGACGACGATGATGATGATGATGATGATGATGATGATGATGATGATGATAATCACCATGATGTCACTGAAGATGATGACGATGATGACGATGATGATGATGACGATGATGACGACGCGGCGACGACGAAGACGCTGCCAGAGGCCCTACTCTCACCCGTGATTCGTTGGCGGTGGCAAAAAAAAAAAATATAGTGGTTGTTGCAGGGTCGGTCGTGGTTCCGAGTATGGTCGGCAAGGCAGTCCAGTGCATTTGTTTTTATTTTGTTTTTTTGTTTTTTAAGGGAACGCTCACGTCGTGTGCGTGTTCATGCCTTCCCGGAACGGCCGCTGTTGATGTGCACTGGTATTAGATGTTATGGCAGTTTTTTTTCGACGTCACGCACCCGTTCGCAGTTCGCGTTCAAACGAACGGGGGACTTCTTTTACATGTGGATGGTATTAATTTTTGCAGTTCAGCGACATTTTAGTGTCTCATTTTTGAAAGACCTTGCAAGGCTTGTCGTCTCCACAATGAGTGAATGTTGTCATCTCTGCAATCGATCCCATATCATCAAAATGCATGCCAATATTTTTAAATTCAACACGACAAAGGGCAACGGCGAAATAAATGAACCTTTGCATTGAAGTACATTCAAAGAGAACCACATCGTCCGCCTCCACGAACGGCTAAACGACTGACGAGAGACAACGAACCACTGCAAGCCATTCCAACACTTCAATCTAATCATCGAGTCCGAACTTATAGAAACCAAAGGCTGCATCGTCTAAGGTTCGCAACCATCTACTCTAAACAACAGCTACACGCCACCCAATCATCAGTGGAAAACCGCACACCCCACGAGGTGCAACACAAACCAATGCGAATTCAAAAAACTAATGACGACACACGACACCCGGACACTTGTCGTCGTCGATCACAGACTGCTGCACGATAACCTGCACACCGCTGGCGATTCGACAACACGAGAAAGCACAAAACAAAGCGAAGTCCACTCTCGATGAACCGCGGCACACTCCAACCTGCCATCCCAATCCCCACCCCCTCTCCCCCGTGGCGTGTGAACGGGCGGACTACTGACCATCTCACTGTAGGCTAATCATCGGTTTCATCATCCCTACTCTGCCGCTTGCCACAGCGAACGTGGCGCCTCCACGTTATTCATATCAACCCCCCCCCC